TTTAACTATGCTCTATAAGCATTAAATTAAATTATCATTAGCTGTATTTTAAAACACCTAATTGAAATAACCTAAAACTTACTACACCAGGACAGTGTAAACAACAGTGTACTGATACCATTTTTATCAGAATAACATACAGTTTCGCAACAGTTTTGAATACCTATACTTAACTCATTGCGACAATTTTAGTATGGATAGATTCCTCTCCCCAATGTATATATATATATGAATTATACCACAGATCTAATAGCAGAGGCAGGTATGAGAGGAAAATTGCGGAGTAAAATATGATAATAGCTATACACAAAATACATAACTAATAATAATACACACATAAAAATTAATTGACTAAATTGTCTAATGCAGGGGGCTGTGTCCCCTGTGACCCTCCTCCTGTGCAATTGCTCCCCCCCCCCCCCCATGGAAGTCAATGAATCCTCATGAATTGACAGTATAATAGAGCATACAACCGACAAGCAGGAGTGCCCGATGCCGAATCTGCCTTACATATATAGTGGATTATTTTTTGTCCATGGCAGGGATTGAAGGGTAGAAGAACCTCATGAGCCACACTGTAAACCTTTTTATATGCACTTTTTATATTTTCAAAAGTTACAACTTGCATGATTAAATTTTCAGTTTGTCTAAATAAGTGCAGTTTGTTGTTGCACAACTGTTGTTTTGCATAATGCAACATTTGTGATTGATGATACATTATTCATACATCACTTCTATGCTATTAAAATGGGCTGTCATTGATGGCACAACAAAGTATGGCTCAAGTTCATTGCCAAATCTATTAGGTCATTCATGCTGTGCAGTAAACAGGCACTTGCTAGGCCAACAAGTAAAAAAGTGAGAACGGCAGGGTGAAAACATAAAAGCATGCAGCCACCTGTGCACGGAATATTGCAAGTTTCCCAAAGTTTCTAGTCTGGCTTCTGGGGCGAACAGCTCCAGCAGTTGACTATACATTGCACAACTCTCTACATATTAATCACTTAACCCCGCAATTTCCCTGTACCAATCATGCCCTCCCCTGCTACCCAGGGCAAGACCGTGAGAAGGATCCACCGATTAACAAAATCAGCCATGCAATTTTGAATATTTACCTTCAATTTTTTTCTTTTCTTTCTATACAACACCCTCACCACACTCTCTATCACACTTTTAAAATAACCACTCAATCACAAAATCTCCGTCTCGTTTGCCTTTCACAACCCAAAAAAAAATCGGAATACTCACCCCGGGTTGTGCTTTCGGTGGCATGTTGTAAATACGTCAATTCACAGATTAAAACAACCGTGGAAAAGGCGACAGCTCTGGAGAGAACCCTTATCTCCTCCTCCTCTATCCAGAAAGGGTGGTTATACGATGTCAATAGGCAGACAAAACAAAAAATAAGAGATAACACCGACGTCCTCTCGTATCTGTTGATAGTTTCCGACTGACATGTTCTCGCGCGTTGCCGTGGTAAACTGACGTTCGAACTTTCTTGATCTTGGCTTCGGCTTGATTTGACGCATTGACGAGTTGTAATCAGCTGCGCGTGTTATATTACATCGCTTCGTCAATTTTTTTTTTATCATGAAATTGCCAATACGACCTCATGAAAGAACAGCTTTTCTAGTTTCTAAGAAGTGTTGATTTGTATCTTCAACTTGAACGTATTCGAATCTGTCCTTCCCGCCTCTTTAATTTTCCCATTTTGACATGTTTCTCATAGCATTTTTGTTATTTCGTCATTCAGAAACAATCTTATTACCTATATATTGTACATTCAAATAAAAACATCGGCTATTAAAAGATAAAGGAATTTAAACGGCCATGAAAGTTTTTCATCTCAATTTACCATCTTCTGTAAAAGAACAAAATACCCATTGATAACATACCTGAAAATACCTTATAGTGTGTGAAATTCACAAATTGTTTCTTTAATGTGTACTCATAATAAAAGATAAGGAAGGATATTGAAATTGAAGCCAATTTTTGAAGATTTTAATTCTAAATGAGTCAATTTCAGTACAACTACGTCTTATTAATGTAATTAAAATAATAAACATTCAAAGACCTCTCTCTCTCTCTCTCTTTTTCTCTCTCTCTCTCTCTCTCTCTCTCTCTCTCTCTCTCTCTCTCTCTCTCTCTCTCTCTCTCTCTCTCTCTCTCTCTCTCTCTCTCTCTGTATGTGTGTGTGTGTGTGTGTATGTGTGTGTGTGTGAGAGAAAGTGAGTGAGTGAGACTGAGTGAGTGAGTGAATGGGTGGATGGGTGAGTGAGTGAGTGAGTGAGTGAGTGGGTGGATGGGTGAGTGAGTGGGTGGGTGAGTGAGTGAGTGAGTGAGTGAGTGAGTGAGTGAGTGAGTAAGTGAGTGAGTGAGTGAGTGGGTGGGTGAGTGAGTGAGTGGGTGGGTGAGTGGGTGAGTGGGTGGATGGGTGAGTGAGTGAGTGAGTGGGTGGATGGGTGAGTGAGTGAGTGGGTGGATGGGTGAGTGAGTCGGTGAGTGAGTGAGTGAGTGAGTGGGTGGGTGGGTGGGTGGGTGAGTGAGTGAGTGGGTGGATGGGTGAGTGGGTGAGTGAGTGAGTGAGTGGGTGGGTGAGTGGGTGGATGGGTGAGTGAGTGAGTGAGAGGGTGGGTGAGTGAGTGAGTGGATGAATGAGTGAGTGAGTGAGTGAGTGAGTGAGTGAGTGAGTGAGTGAGTGAGTGAGTGAGTGAGTGAGTGAGTGAGTGGGTGGGTGGGTGGGTGGGTAGGTGGGTGGGTGAGTTTGTGTGTGTGTGGGGGGGGGGGTAGGCATGTGTAAGGGTGTTGTAAATTATATATTCCTATAAAATGTTAACCTTTTACTTATGAGAGATTATGTCTAGACTACTTTTATTGGGCAGTGTCAGTTTCACTGAAGTTTGTATATTGCACAAAATGATGTACATTTATCTACACCTCTTTGCACACAAGTAATACTATTACCAGTATTGAAGTTGATCATAATAATAATAATAGTAATGCTGCAAGTGATAACATGTTATATTATGACATATTGTTACTATATCATTTATTCTGTTAATATCATTATGATTACAACCAACTTCATTTTTATGATTACTTATCATAATTACTATTCCTATCATCTTTAATAGTGATATCAACTCACTTGTTGATATCACAATAATTCGTACCAATACAATTATTATCATCATCATAAATTCCACTTATCTGCATCTATATAAACATTATGATTATCATTACCCAAAGAAAAACAGACCACTGTCAAACAAATGGGCAGAGGCTCCATTAGCCAATCTGACTCAAGGACCTCATTCAAGTCAAGGATTACATAATGTCCTTTTAGCAGTGCACTATCTATAGAACTAGGTGAACTAGAACTAGGGCATTCCCCTCCTAATTTTTGTAGACAATGAGGATCTAGTCTATGATAATCTAAGAGGTTTGTTAAATATCATTATCAATTACACCATCATTAACCTGATACTGCAGGGGATGGTATGTACAGAGCTAAAGCTGCCCTGAAGTCGGTCTGGACTTGTCAAGTCTAGTGAAGTGGAATAGTAATGTAAACAAAATGGGAAGCTAAGCAATCAGAGGTAAAATTCACAAACCTGTACTGAATCTCTCTACGTGTGCACACTTAACATGTCCAAGAAATCATTTTTCTGCAATCATATATAAGATATTCAAATAATAACCACTTTAATTTGGCATCTTAGGTTTCTCAAAACATTATATCTTACTTAATATAAAAGAGTGAAATCAGCAACACAATTTCACATATTCTTCATAATAAATCAAAATGTGTGGATAAAACCTAACAAACATTCAAAAAATGGTAAATTTTTGTAATGTGATTTCCCTCCAAGCAACAAACTAAGGTAGGTTTTATTTCTTTCATTTATTACAAATATGAATCTTCACACCCCCCAAAAAATATACATGAATATGACTTTCTATAGAGAAGATAATATATTACACATCCATTCAAGATGCTTCACAATCCTTGCCTGTCATTTAGACTGGCATAAAATATCATGACTAATTTGTACACAGGCAATCAGTTCTATAGATTTATTTCTCTAAATATTTATTCAATTTTATAGTGCAGCATAAGTTTCAACCAATCACTGAAGTAATCATTATTTGCAAATTTTGGGTGTACTTTTACAATATACAGCAGTTACATAAGACCATTCATATGATGAGTATCAATAACTATCATATTTACCTTTAATATTATCATTAGTCAAACTGTTTTCACTATTGCAGTCATTATCACCTATTACTAACATCATTTATATATCATTATTATTGTAATTATAATTATCATTACAATCATTTTTGATACTACTACTATTACATCATTTAAAAATAACTGCTATCATTATTTATATTGATTTCAGCTTCAATAATAATTACAGTAGTAATAAAAGAGCAATAATGAAGACCTGACATGAAACATATTGTGACACTTGTGCTCTCTACAAATAAAATGACAGGTATGTTTTGGGATTAAGGAAGAAATAGTGAAGTAGGAGTGGAAAGGGAGGTCTGAGCAGGGGTGTAACACATGTGGCCAAACACACCCTTACATGTAGCTCACAATACATTTACCTCTCCAGCCATACTTTGTGCTTGACATGATTTCACCCCAAAGAATTGAAAGGCCTCAGGCCTGTTTTATTTTTCTTGCTGCAAAAAGGCCTGTTTTCCAAGACCTATTAAGGCAAACTTTGGTTGTTGGTATATTAACTCTTGCCACTGGGAGGGTAAGTTTGTACATGCCAAGTCCACTGTGATTTTAGCCATATACATTAATAAAATTCACAAAACAAACATGCAGTGAACAGTGCATGTGTTAATGGGTAAGAGCTCAATTTTACAAACCAGAAAATGTAATTTTCATTGTCATATGTTAAATATATATTGCAGTTACCCTACTCTTAAAAATGAAAATGGGGATAAGTTATAAATATTTAAATAAAACATATGAAGCAACAAAATTACATTTTTATTATATAAAACAATAAAAGAGGCTCATAGTTATCTGAATAATAAAAACAATGATACACCAAGAGGTAATTCTCTAATATTTAATAGTTTGGTGTGTGATGGGGCAAATTAAGAGAAGAGATGCCATAAAGCCATAAAGTACCATAATTATTAATTCACATTCACTATCAGTGGCATAGATAGGGGGGGTCAGGGTGGGCGGAAAACCCCCCTCTAGAGCTAAACTGCCATTTGTCGGAAAATTGCTAACCTTGTCAGAAAATAATCATGAAGAAACGAAAATGCTTATTACAGTTTTGTCGGAAAATCTGCATTTCCCGCCCCCCCTATAAAACTTCTTATCTATGCCACTGTTCACTATATTCCATCCATAAGCAGAGGGAGTTTCGCTCAGGAGGAGGAAATTTGCCAAGTAGTATCAGATGCATTTGTAGACACTACATGCATCTCACTGATAGTTAAAATGAAGCAGAAAAAAGTTTTTGAGGGGACATATACAATAGTGTAGCCACACATTCTGTGGAAAGCCATGATCATGGCCAAAAGGTATATATTAGTTAATTGACAATATGTCTTTTTAAAATCTGTTGCACGTATTTTTAATGAATCAAGTGGCCGCTTTGTCTTTAAAAATAGACCATAACATTGTTTTTAACTGATTTATAATTTGGCCTCTTATCTCTTACAAATAATATTATATGTATACATCAGTGTCATGTGAGTGTATGTTTAAACTATATGCAGCATCTTAAATTTCATATTACTCACTTAAAAAGGGTTTGCAAACTGCTCATAGTTGTGTTATATCTAGCCCAAATACCACAGTAACTCTTGGTTACTTGTGGTATCAGAAGTAGTAGAAAAAATAGTAGGAATAGTAACAGTAGTATTAGTAAAAATAACAACTGTGGTGGTGGTGATACTGATGATGGTATTGGTATTGGTACTGGTACTGGTATTAGCACTAGTACTAGCACTAGTAGTAGTAGTAGTAGTAGTAGTAGTAGTAGTAGTAGTAGTAGTAGTAGTAGTAGTAGTAGTAGTAGTAGTAGTAGTAGTAATAGTAGTAGTAGTAATAGTAGTAGCAATAATAGTAGTAGCAATAATAGTAGTAGTAGCAATAATAGTAGTATTAGTAATAGTACTGGTAGTAGTACTAGTAGTACTTGTAGCAGTGGTAATAGTAATAGTAGTAGATAATGTAGAAGCAGAGGCAAAAGCAGAAGCAGAAGCAGAAGTAGATGTAAGGTAGTAGTGGTGGTAGTGGCAGTGGTAGCATTATCATTTCTATTATATCACAATCAATTAATGAAGTTTAAATGTTGTAATAGAATATGTACAGCATATTTTCATATACTCATTATCTAATTATACTGAATTCCTATTTTCTGGTAAAGAATTCACTTGTAACATCTGAGATCAAAAGTATGGTTTCCACAAAAACATTATGCCAAAGAGAGAGAGAGAGAGACTCCTTACCCTGTAATAAGAACTTTTAGTAGCACAGCTTGTATAAAGGTATTGTTTACAACAATATTGAGCAAAATATTAAATATGAACAAGGATACACATTTGGTCTGAATAGTATTCTTATATTATTTATTATCTACATTTTAATTTTATAGTATAAAAGTCCTCAGGAGCATATTCATATAAGTTAAAAACAATTCTCTCAATGATACTGTATAATACACTGTCATATAACCATATATATGAAATTATTCAGATCAACAATGCTCCAATACAAAAGACACAACTGCACAATATAAATGCTTTTTCCTTTAGTATCAAAAATATGATATAGCTAATGACAAATCAGACATCTCAAATCTTCAATGGACAAAACAAAAACCACATGGCTACTACCATTAATGTACATATACATGTCTGTAACAACAGTCTTTTCCATAAAATAATTTCTAATTTAGAACAATGTGACACTGTTGTTTAAGTGTTCTTTATGCGGAGCTGCTCACTCCATGCATACAGGACCTTCAGTACTCTGAGGAAGAGGACAGTGCTGAGGACCACACAGCAAGATGTCACCAAGAATCCTACAGCCTCAAAAATAAAGTGTGGGGCAAAGATCTTCCAGACCATCAAATGGCGTCGTAAAACAAATGCAGAGAGGGACGAACAAAATACCTGAAATGGAAAAGGAGACACACTGAATAACGGCAATTCATTTATGCAATGAAGAGAAAGCACGATAATTTTGATAAAGTTTTATGAATGACTTTGCAAATGAAGGAACAAAAAAATAAAGGGAATCTAAAGGTAAACATCTGCATATATGTAAACATACCCAATGGGTGAGTGAGTGAGAGTCAGTGAGACAGTGATAGATAGATAGATAGATAGATAGATAGATAGATAGAGAGAGAGAGAAAGAGAGAGAGAGAGAAAGAGAGAGAGAGAGAAGAGAGAGAAAGGGAGAGAAAGAGAGAGAAAGAGAAGAAAGAGAGAGAGAGAGAGAGAGAGAGAGAGAGAGAGAGAGAGAGAGAGAGAGAGAGAGAGAGAGAGAGAGAGAGAGAGAGAGAGAGAGAGAGTGTGTGTGTGTCAATTTGGAGACATGTGTGAGAGAGGGGGGGGGGAGAGAGAGGGAGAGAGAGAGAGGGGGGGAGAGAGGGAGGGAGGGAGGGAGGGAGGGAGGGAGGGAGGGAGGAAGGGAGGAAGGAGGAAGGGAGGGAGAGGAGAGAGAGAGAGAGAGAGAGAGAGAGAGAGAGAGAGAGAGAGAGAGAGAGAGAGAGAGAGAGAGAGTGTGTGTGTGTGTGTGTGTGTGTGTGTGTGTGTGTGTGTGTGTGTGTGTGTGTGTGTGTGTGTGTGTGTGTGTGTGTGTATGTGTGTGTGTGTGAGGCAATTTGGAGACATGTGTGAGTTGAATTAAGATACACGTTGGAATCTGTGTATGAAAAACAAGCAAGGAAGGAAGGAAGGAAGGAAGGAAGGAAGGAAGGAGGGAAGGATGGGAGGAGGAAAGAAAGAAAGAGCCACCTACTTTTGCTGCATGGAGAAGGATGTAAGATACTGCAGTAAACAAGACTGCCTCCTTAGCTTTCTCTGGCCGATCCACCAATAAGAACTCTCCTCGACTTGTTTCTTCAGACTCTAGTCTATTAACACAACAGATAAAAATATATTTCTATTAAAATTGAGACTTGTTATGAACCCCCCAAAAATATATCATAAATACAGTTACATTAGCTAATAAGGTAAAAACTAATATGCTTCTAAATCAGCTATTGTTATAAAATAAAGCTGGTATCTATTCCTTCCCCTTTTCTATGAACATGCATTCCTAAATGCATCTGTATTATAACACTAACAAAAGAAATTAGTTACTACATCTTAATAAAGCAAGACTAGTATGGATCATTATCAGGGTACCTACTGCTGAGTGATCCATATTGGACACTTGCCAGGGTTTTTGCTGATATGTAGTTTGGTATTAGTAACAGAAGTCTGGCATCAAAAATAGATATCCCTCAAGATGTCCCACTTGACTGTGATAAGGGTAAAGATGAGCTAACTGACGAGATATTTCCTAAATAGAAGATTCACCTGTTGCCTCGTAGTCTTGGAAAGGCCACTCCTATGGCTAGTGGCGCTAACACAATTAATGGCAATGATAAACCAAAGAGAATCTGTGCCATGAAAGTGTTGATGCCCACAAGGAGAGTAGGGAAGAAGTTGCTGCCACCCCAATCACCAGTAAATCCTACAAATGCAGCAGACCAGTGCAATGAGGAGAAGGTTGGCTGATGCCCAGTTACATAGAATCCATGAACACTCATGATGAACCAGACACAGAGGGCTGCCCAAGATGGTTTCAGCAACGTTTCTGCAACGAGAGATGAACTTTGCAATTTATTGAACCTACAAACAAGTGAAATACTTCACATAAAAACATGAAATAAAAAAGTGGAACTTACCAATATTATTGGCTGTCATCCATGAACATACAGCTTGTACCACGAAGCAAGATGCTGCAGTGACAACAAGAACTAGGACTGCTGGTGCCAAGCCATCACCAGCAAGCATAGTCAGTACAACTAAGAGTGCAGTCACTATGCTTACCACTGGGGCAGACACTGCTGTAGCCAGTCCATATACTACAGGAATATTGGAGTTCTTGGAGTTACCATCATGGTATTTTTCAATGAGCTTATGATACACTTGAGGTACAAAACCATAAGGATGGTTAACAACAGGTCCAAAGCTTTTCTTAGGAGGCACCTCATATATCAGCAAGGGAATGCAGTACAAGGTTACAACAAATAACATAGTAACAGCATATGTTAATCGTGGAGGGACTACAACATGCTCACTGAGTGGAGAGTTCTGCAGAGGTGCAGCCTGTAGGGCCCAGTGAGCAGCTACAAACACCCCTGTAATGACTGGGACATAATTCACTAAAAGAACTCCCAGCCTTGAACCATTCAAATTGCCACACATAATGAGCCATCGTCGAGGCAACCACACCAACAAAATAAGGGCAAACAAGCTAGTAAAGTATCTCCAGTTTCTGAAGCTCTCTGGCAGACCATTCATGGGGGTGTGAACCTGGCTGGGAACACACCACGACTGCTCTTCACGGCATTTCCAGTATGAAGAGCTTCCTCGTACAGACACCAGCAGGACAATCACAGCCATAAAACATACAACATTGCGGACATTTAAAGACACTTTTACATTCTTCCAAGATAGTGTACTCATATTCTTCTTTTTTTGTCGCCTCAAAAAGGAAATAACTGAATACATTATAATTAATGATAAGAGCATGAATGATATTACATAATTTTCTACAACAACATAACTGTTTGAAAAACTCCCTAAGTATATGCATAGTATTAGAAACAGAGAAAAGCCATCTGTGATGTTAATATCTGAGCACTTGCAATTCAAATATCTATGGTGGAAATATAGCCAAAGAACTATCATTCCACTTGCCACATATCCCATCACTGAAATACTGGCATAAGGAGTAAAAATGAACAAAGAATTGACTCCTACAGTAAGGAGGAGCAGCCTCTTCAAGACCAATACATCATTCGCTTGACTGAGCACCATCAACACAATAAGTGCCATAACTGTAACCATCAGAATAAGACCACTTGTCATTTCTGCTATGTTGAACTTTGCCCAGACTGTTTCACACATCATTTTTGCAACATTTAGGTATTCAGTATAGGCCATTTTCTTTTCTCTTGTAGTAAGCTCATTTAAATCTTTACTTATTTTCTCATTCAATTTTTCCAATCTATTCCACAACTCTCCAAAAAGTTCATTGCCAACTTTCTTGTATTCCTGCAAGTATTTCCGGACTTGCTGAACATTTTGTGCAAGCGCCTGAACTTTCTTGCTCAAGACTTCCTCCGATGATTCTCCCTTCTTGGCCAGCAACTCTTCCACCACCTTGCCCAGGTTAGAGAACGGGATGGGAACACCAAGGGCCAGTGCAAGAGTGGGAACAATATCCACTTGTGACACCTGTATTGGATGAATGCTATCTGGGTTGGCAGGAACCATATTTAGTCCAGGACTGTAGGCAAAGAGAGCAGCCGTTATTTCGCCTTCAGAGTCTCCACCATGGTCGCCTGTCTTGGTCATGCCGTGATCGCCAAATACCAAAAGTAGTGTGTCCATCCCTATACGATCTGCCACATTCCTGCATGTCAAGGTAAAGGAAAATTACTACAGGTCTCTTCCATTAAAGGATTCATTCACTCAATACAGAGATGAATGGCTTAACTTTACTCTATGCAATAAGGAACGTGTTAGAATAATACAGATACAAGTAAGGGTAATGCAACACAAAAAAGTTTCTGTGTCATCTCTCACATTTTATGATGAAAATAATAAATGAAACTTCTCTTTTTATTGGTTTTATATCAGGTCAACATGATTATATTATATCTGAGCTTTTAATATTTTAACTATCTATCATTGGCAATAACAGAAGGAAAATTGATAATTCATCACTATTATACTGGAAGCCTTACAAAGTGCAGACATGCAACTTATTATATTGTTTCAATTACAAGGGAGTCTGTACAACTAGAAAAGGCAATATCAATAGTTGTGTACTATAAGTGAGAAACTTGTTATATCTAAAAGCAAAACAGAAGTAAGCTAATAATCAAAAATACAATATTACACTCATTGGAGTGACCAACCATAAAAAATTCAAGAATAGATTATTGATCATTTCAACATTACCGTGACATGTTCCTATACAAATATAATAGTTCTATTCTCAATTTTTTATGAAAAATAAAAACAAAACATAAAAGTAATTGACAGCCAATAACCTGAAAACATACCCAATTCAATAATCACAGAGTCATGCAAAAGAGATGCATTCTAAACATCACATCACATTATTATGAGCAGATTTATTTCAAAATGTTTCTAGCTTCCAGCTATTTGAGTCAAGTGAACAGACTACACCTAGTGATATCCAACATCCATGACTTCTACACCTACATATCCATACATCACCCTACTTTTTACCCACATCCTCCATCTTCACTGTAACAGCCAATCTAGAATCAATTCATATCCATTTGAGTCCCTTTGCAAGAATTTCCATTATCACCAATATACCATCATTACCAGTCCTTACAACGGCCCCTCCCGAATACACCCCTCATCTTTTCCATATTGATCCCCATTAGGCCAGAGTCATTTACGTGAAGTAGGTAATACTGATAAGTAATTATTACAAATTACCTACACCACCTCTGAGTTCGCTACCACTGTATAGCAAAACCTTGACTTTTTCCCTATCTCCCCCCCTCCCACTTTGCTTTATTCTCCCTTTCTCTATCTATCTTTCTCTCCTTTCTTCCCCCTCTCCCTCTTCCTATCCCTCTTCCTCTCCCTTCCTCTCTCCTTACCTCCCTCTTTGAAATGATGTAGCTAGACTGTGATAGACAAATGGCCTTTAATACGACTTGACTCCGAGAAAGGATGCCCTCCATAATCCAAAAGAACATTACTTGGTACAGAATAAAAATAATTATCTTCAGTCAAAGATAAGATGAACAAGAAATCTGTACTCCAAAGAACATACATACTTAATCACGTCATTCATTTGTGCTAATTTTGCTGTCATCTCAGGATGGTCGGGCCCATATCGGTGGCCACAGTGGTCCACACCCAAGAAATGGCTAATCATTACATTCCAATCATCCTTCTGCAATTCTTCTTCCAGGTGTTGGAGAATTCCATTGTCTACGGTGTGAAGGTCCATTACATTGAATGATGGAAACAGGAACGATCTTTTAAATCTGAGAACAGATGATGTCTGTTAAGTGCATTCAATTTTAATCTTGCATCTATATGACTGTGTGAAGCAAATAAAATATCTAGAAGCAAATAATATATCTATAAGATATTGTCTCATAGTTATTTACTTTTTGTCCTGAAAAAATATCCTAATTTTTTTTTTTTTTCTTGGAAACTATAAAATTAACCTTATTGTCACTCACAAACTACTTGATGCTGTGCTAAGTTATTTTCTCTTTATGCAATAGCTTGAACTCTGAACCATTTTTTTATCTAAAAATAATAATAATAACAATAATAATAATAACAATTTCATTTTTCCATCAATAGTATTATACAGTAACTTTTTAATTCATCTATGTGAAACAATGTTGCAAGGATTATTATCAATAATATCTAAAAGTTCTTAATATTTCCCTTTCTTCACAAGCTATACCAAGTTAATGGTCCTTACCTTTTGGGAAATAAGCCATTCCATGTATCATCACCCAAAACTATCACTTCCTTCTGATGCTTGACAAGTTGATCAATAATGTTGTCTTCGCTTATCTCTTCACTGGAAAGGTTAAAGAAAGGATAAAAACATGATTCATATCTTGAGTAAACCTAAATTTTCACACTAATAACCATTTGTTTTGTTTGAACTTATTCAGCTGACCTTAGATTCCTCAACAAAACATACCTGGCAAAGTTCTGACTTGCATCTATAAAGGTAGGGAGGCTACCTGTTGTAAGCCCCTTTAATCTTTGCATGGTGGTTGTGGGGGCATCAGCAATGAAGGGAACTAACATTGCTTCTTTGGGTTTTGCATCCATGATCTCTCTAAACACTGGCATTTTGTTCAGATAAGGTGTGGCATCATCTTTCCTCAGAGAAACATTGAAATGTGCAAAATCATACCGTAAGGCATCAATAATAAGAATAACAGCCTTTTCAAAGGAGGGTTTCATCCAGCACCCATTCTGTGAGTCCAGCTGCTCTGTATTTCTTGTCACATCAGCATCAATGATTTCATCTGAGGTGAAACCATGACAAGTTGAGTTAATATCAATAACCTGTCTAGTCAAAAGAAATCCATGGCTGAACACTAGCAAGCCTATTACAAACAGCTCACTCAAGCAAAGCACTGGAATCACGCAATGTGAAATTTTGAATTCTGACATTCTTGAATGTCATAAATCTGAAAAAGAATGAAGCTGCAATCAGTACACACATTACACTACAAACCAGATATAAAATTTTAAAAATATTTTTGGCATTCCAGCAAACAGCCAAAAGCTTCCACCACGTATCTTCTGGCAAGATGGAGCTTGGACAGGATCTTCATATTCTAAATAATTACCACATGTAAATCACTAGGGAGGTCTATTAACTCTATCTTGCCAGAACATCTTTGGGGAGATTTGTCAGCCTTTGCTGGGAGGGCACCAACAGAATCAGAGATTATCTCAACTAGAGGCTGGCATTTTCCTAGCATTTACCACAAGATCTACCATCAAGAGTGACAGAAACAGTAATTGTGGATTTACTCAATTAAAAATATATATGAGATATGAAATACAATTATTGAATTTTACAGTAAAATATAATTTCTCACCCTTACGATTCTACACTTGTTAAAAAATTGTCGTTGACATTCCAGAACGTAGAAATTTTTCTTACTCCCTATTCATTTTATTGAAAAATACTGTACTTTCAACGTAAATAAGACCGAAAGTGTTGTCATTGGCTCTAGTTGACAGCGTCAATCTTGACAGATACTGTACTGGTTAATATCTTCTTCTTTTCCTTCCTCCTTTAACATAGGACTTCAGACTCTAGTTGATGAAAAACAACAAATATATCCTCCGCTCCTCTTGCTAAGAAATCGCGAGTTTTAGCCGGCCGCCGGATGCCTTTATCGCTTCCCTTTCTCTTTGCTCAATGTTATTCTCATAGATATCAACATATTCACAGGGGTCACGGCAACTATGAAGAAAATCGCATCGGTAAATACTCTTTATCTTACTATGTAGTTTATCTAAAAACTCTAATACTTTATTTTAGATCTAATTCTAAAATTTCTGATCCACAAGGAGTGTATACTATCGTCTATACTCAGCTGGTGCATCGTCTGCATTTCCATAATATTTTCTGAAGTCATTTGTCTTATGATATACTATTAATTGATATTATGCTGCGTTAATTTATTGTTTCTTATCTCATATTGATATTGATTTTTATATCAGTTTTTCTAATAATTACTATGTAAATCAATTCCGGAAGCGAATATCTCTCCAGAAACACTTTTAGCGAACAGGAAACTGTTTTTCATCCTTTGAGTTAAGAATGTGTTGCATCTTTTATTTAACATACCAATATATGATGTGTATCATATAGAAGTGTTGTGTAATTATGCATATATAGATATATATATTGTGTATATATATGATCTTATTACGGCTAATAGGTTTGCCTGTACTCCTTTTCGCTAAAAGTTGTTTGTAAATTATTACTGTTCGCTAAGAGGGACTGGAACACTTGGGTGCAGAATATAAACAAACCATAATTTGGGTCGTGTTGTCACAATGATCATTAGAAGAGGATTGTCAACGCTATTCAGTAACTCTGCCAAGCAAATATTTACTGAATGTTCAAGACAACGCTGCCGGTTTTGGGTATGTCATCAACAAAATTTGGACCGGGGCTTTGACTCCAGGAACTTGGTTTGAAGGAAATTTTCCTTTTCCCCTAAAGTACATGTGTTCATGACACCCTGGCAGACTCACTCACTCACTCACTCACCCACCCACTCACCCACCCACTCACCCACTCATTCATTCATTCACTCACTCACTCACTCACTCACTCACTCACTCACCCACTCACTCACTCACCCACTCACTCACTCACTCACTCACTCACTCACTCACCCACTCACTCACTCACTCACTCACTCACTCACTCACTCACCCAAACACCCACTCACTCACCCACTCACTCACTCACTCACTCACTCACTCACTCATCCACTCACTCACTCACTCACTCACTCACCCACCCACTCACTCACTCACTCACTCACTCACTCACTCACCCAAACACCCACTCACTCACCCACCCACTCACCCACTCATTCACTCACTCACTCACTCACTCACTCACTCACTCACCCACCCACTCACTCACTCACTCACTCACTCACCCACTCACTCACTCACTCACTCACTCACTCACTCACTCACTCACTCACTCACTCACTCACTCACTCACTCACTCACTCACTCACCCACTCACTCACTCACTCACTCACTCACCCAAACACCCACTTACCCACCCACCCACTCACTCACTCACTCACTCACTCACTAATTCACTTGATCATACACCCACTCATCAGTTCAATATAACAAAAGTTCCTTATATTCCCTTCCAGACACTCACTCACTCACTCACTCAAGCACCTACCCACCCACCCACCCACTCACCCACTCATTCACTCACTCACTCACCCACTCATTCACTCAATCACTCAAACACCTCACTCACTTACTCACTCACTCACTCGCTCACTCACTCACTCACTCACCCAGCCACTCTCTCACTCACCCAGCCACTCACTCACTCATTCACTCACTCACTCACTCACTCACTCACTAATTCAATCGTTCACACACCCACTCATTCTATCAGTTCAAAATAACAAAAGTTCCTTATATTCACCTCCACTCACTCACTCACTCACTCACTCACACAGTCCTGCCAGTTCAAAAAAAATCCCTATATTCCCGTATAGTATTTCCCTGTCACTATAGGCCTATATGTATATTATACATTTGTGCACATACTCACTATAGGCCTATATGTATATTATACATTTGTGCACATACTCACATGCACATGCATATATATATAAATAAATAAATAAATAAATGAATAAATATAAAAAAAAAAAATATATATATATATGTAAATATATATATATATATATATATATATATATATATATATATATATATTTATAAATGTCATTTTAGATAAATACATATATATATATTATATATGTATAGATGTATATCTATATGTATATTTATTTATTTATTTATTTATTTATTTTTTTTTTT